TTCGTTATAAAAGGGGATCTAGGGAACTAGAGATCTGCGAGCCCCGCGCCATTCCTGCCATTCGACATAATATCATTAATTTAGTGATCTCTTCACTAGCATTATCCACCCAGGATCTATCAAACCCGGAGAAAACACAAACTGTAAATGACAAATGCAACCTACACCTTTGATTCGTAATACTTGAATGATTCCCAACCGCTCGGCCCTCCAGTCGCCCCGATGCTATTTCGATTACCTCAAAGCCTGCTGCTACATATGTCGCCCATCCAACTCCGCCGGGAACGGCCCCGGGCTCGGGACTTGCGCCGCTCCCACCTGCGCATTCTGCTTCGGCTCCGCGCCCACCCATCCTTGCTGCTGGCCCTGCCCTTGCCATTGTTGCTGCACGCCAGCTGGGGAATTCGGTATATACTGCGGTGCCGGACTCATAGACGGGCTGTACGCTGCCTGCGCCATCGGAGGTTGTCCTATTGCTGCTCCTCCTTGCGGTCCCGGTCCGTACTGCGGATATTGCTGCGGAGGTAGTTGGGCAGGTGGGTTCTGGGGTGCATTGCGCTGCTTCTTCTTGAGGAAGAAGATATAGGTGACGAGACCGGCAATAGCGATTAGAGCGATGGGCCCGACAACGACGCCGGCAATCCAGGCTTTGGATTTGGAGGGCGCGGGGGCGGAAGTGTGAGTCGGAGTGGAGGTTGAGGTGGGAGAGGAAGTCAGGGCGGCGGTTGAGGGGGTGAAGGTTGTGGTTGCAGCAGCGGAGGATATGGAAGATGCTGCTAAGAAAGGAGAGCTAGTTAGGAAGATTTTCAAGACGTTCAAAAGTAAGAAATTCGAGGGAACCAGGATTGTCTGTAATGCTGTAGACGTTCAGGAGCGTGGAAGGTAAGAAATTGTACGGGCGCGGATAAGGTTATAAAGGGAAATGAGAATATGTCATACTCTGGGTTGGTTTTACGCGGTAATAAGACCAATTTACTGCGGATTCTCCGCAGAAGACGTCAGTGTACGGGTTAGAGTCGTCGGCGTTTTCGAAAATGAAGGCTGTAGCGCATACGGTCTGTGATACCTCTGAGGGTTCGGTATAGAGAGCGGAGCTGCAAAATGATCAACGAGCGCTACCTACAATATTCATTGCTGGAACTGCCCTTACCAGGCATAGGTACCCCCAGTAACAGTGCCAGTGGTGTATGTGTATACCAATGAGCCGCTCACGCAACCTATTGGAAAGTTGCAGGCTGCTCCAGTCGTTGTACAGCAGCCAGCATAGCCTCCATGCTGATAGTAAGTGCCACCGACATCGCAATTCTCGGAGGTATCTGGAGAGGTTGCTCAATTAGCTGCGCGACATAGCCTTGAGAGAAGGACGTACATCCCCCAAGATAGCTCAGATACCCCAGGAACCTGTTGTCGTTTTGCTTTTTCAAGAGCTCAACAACAGGAGCAGGTGTCACCATAGACTCTGGTGCTGGCAATACATTTGCAGAGGAGCACACCAGCCATATCGACAGCAAAGAATAAAAGATTGATATCGCCATAACAAGGGATAATTGACGCTGAAAGACAATGCGGGAGGAAGAGAAAGCCTAGACTTAAGTACGAGAGTCTCCGCGACTCAGCCGCACAAGACGTTCCTGCACAACCACGGGTGAAATCTGACCAATAGTAGAAACCCCAATGAATAAGAATAGCCCAAAAATCGTTTTTCCGCTTGGGGGCGTTTTACCATTGACTCTATTCGTCCCGACGAACGCCATGGCACCTCACAATGAGCGAGGTTTAAATTAGTGCTTCGTATTCGGCAACGCCCCAGCGGGAAGACGCAAGGTCGAGAAGGAATGGGTTTGGCGATGAACATCAACTATCCGAACCAGTTTCCCCAGAAGAGCCTTATGATGAAGTGCTCACACATAGAGTGAGCGCCTAGCTTTGAATGAAGAATGCAGCGAAATCGTGAACGCTGTGCAAAATATTCAGACGTCATGTCCATTGAGCTGCAAGGCTGGAAAGTGAAGTCCTGCCAAGAGAATGAATGCAATTTTGGAGTACTATCTGTCAGACGCTGAGCAGGCTGATGGAAATGATACATATGATACTCTATGAGTAAGAATCTCAGGGGCTCGAAGGCCCCGAGAAGATATCTACACGATGGCCCGCGCGCTGTCACGTGACACGTCGCTGAGGTCAAAGAGACTGCCCAAGTACCCCCTACCAACACTATCCCTTCGTGTGGCAGAAGTCACTTTTCGTATTGGGCGATTTTGGCGCTTTTGCTTGGGTTAGCATGCTGCAGACGCCTTAGCTAGCGCGGTTTTACTACAAGAGGGTACTACGAACGGGATAGAAGCCCTCCCTACTAGTATGCCAGTAGAATAATACAGCCCAGCTATTTTGTAAAGGCTTACTTATTTTGAAAATATACTAGCAGGGAGGGCGTCTGCCCTGTACGTGTTACCCCCTTATAGTAAGCCCTACTAAAACACTAATATATCCTTATCCTTATCTTATACTATGATAAAACTTAATCTAAGACTTTAACCGACCGCCACCAACTTTAACAATCTACGCCCTATTTGTATGGTAATATTTTTACTGCTATAGATATCGCAAATCCACTCTAAAGAACTGTAGATAATCCTCCGCTTATGTAATATATCTATCTTATACGCTTCTATAAGGCGTGGTGGAGGCCCTAATAGAGTTGCAAGCTTTGCGTCTCCGTGGAGGTAGAGAGCTTTGTGAGGAGCTTCGCGAGGAACCTCCGCGGACGAGCTTAGGGGTAAGCCGTGCACGGAGCTGTACACGGAGCTCTGTAAAATTTATTCTTAAAGCTCTATATAAAAAAAAGTATCTATTTATATAAAATATGGCTCCTAGATCTAAAAAGAATAGACAGCTGTAAAACGCACGCGTTTAAAGGCAGCCGCAGCCGCAGCCGCAACCTCTATAGCAGCCTCCGCAGCAGCCTCTGTAGCAGCCTCCGTAGTAGCTACCAGTATACTGCTCTGCAGAGCGACCCCTGTAATAGGAAGACTACCCGGTAGAGCAACCCCAGCAGGAGAACGAGGATGTATTTGCAGCTACGCCTTTTTGCTCTACCGCCTAGCGGGAGTCCCTTGCTCTCCTCCGCTCTTTTAACGTACGGACTAACTCGCAGCGGATATAGATATACGCTAGTCGCCTAGTCCAGTAAGGCCAACAGGCAGCATCGCTGACAGCCAGCTGCTAATGTAAGCAGTTAGTTAGCGTAGATACATGCAGCGCGCTGCAGCTCGCTGCATGGGTGGTATTTTGAAGCTTTTTAGTAGACTTTTAGGTAGTTTAAGGATATTTGACTAAAATTCGGTTGGGAAGCCCTAAGATATCTATACTAACTTATATAGAAATCCCTAATATCCCTATGGCGGATTTAGAAGCGTCTACCTATATTTTATTAATATAGCAATATATAACGCACCCTATATTTTACCTATTAGCTAAGTAGTAGAGCCTCTTCCTCTACTCCTTAATTAAGCTCTTTACTAGCCTAGAGCCGTCATAGATCTACCGCTTCTACTCCCCTTATAGTTAAAGATACTTCTAAATTATTAAGATTAATAAGTGTTGGTAGGGGGGGGCTGGGGCATCTATAGGAGCTTAGCTAGTATATAGATTATCTCAGGTGCCCTAGACTCTCGTAGAGGAATCGACCTCTGCACCTTGTTATGCATTTTATGCAATCATATCATAAAATTTTGCCAAGGAAGGTCCCGTGCGCGAATAATCTAGCCAATTAGATAGCANCAAGAGTAGGTAACGTAATCTGGAGCCNGTGCGAGGCGAATTCCTCTCCAAGGGTCTGAGAGAAAATGGGCGCGTATTGCACCCCTTACACCTCATAGTTTCCTCGTGCTTNTGAGATGGAACTTCCCCACTATNACTTATTTTTCCCTAAGATTAGGTGAGCTACTTCTTATTATATCTAAGAAGTAGCTCACCCAATCTTAGGGAAAAATAAGTTATGGTGGTAAAATGCGATCGAGGTTCCAATATAGCTGGTTAGGTTGGCCTGGTTTCAAAAAAAATGCATTTTTGAACTTTGAGGCTGTATATCAACCCCTAATACGCGGGCTATCTAATTAAATTAATTAGAATATATAAGAAGAAGAGGTTATAATTCAAATGCATCGACAACTGTAGCTATAGCTGCTAAATTGGCCCTGTTATGGCTGATTGAAAATAGCATACGTTAAAAAAGTGGCCTGGCTTACAGCAAGCACGCGCCCATAATCTCTCAGACGCTACGTAGAGGATTTTGTTGGGTCACGTGGGGTTGAGATTGGTAAGAAGTTATGCAAAGGGGCGGGCCTGCCAATCATCTACGAAGCGGCTGAGGCACCTGAGATAAATATAGAGTCGTCCCGAAGGGACGACTCCACCTTATGGAGTCCACACTATCATACACCTGCATTCCCATGTGACAATAAGAATGGTAGTAAGGTAAACAACATCGTTCTAAAATTCTCTTAATTAGTAGCTTATAACTAGTTAATTACTCTACTAAACTCTTACTAAGATTACCCTAGATCTATTTCCTATACTAGCTATAAGCTCTATATATAAGCGAGCTATTAGTTAAGCTAGGAGGGTCGTTATTAATAAGCGTAATAGACTTATTAATAAAGATTTACTAGGACTTAAATTAGGGCGTATATACTACTATTAAACGCTATTTAGGATATTAATTAGAGTATTAATATTAAGTAGATAGCTATATAGCTATAAGGTATAGGCGACCTAGGAATAATCTAGAGATAATTTTAAAAATAATATTATTGGTATAAGGGATAGACAATTAACTTATATAAATAATTAACTTATAAAATATATTAGGTAATATAAGTCTTACTTTAATAATAGTTTATTTATATATTATAGTTTAATCTAGCAGAAATACGGGATAAATAAAAGCTACTATAAAGGATAAGGGTGCCTAAAAAGAACTAAAAAGATAGGTTATAGCATGGTCACTACGAGGGTCGAACTCGCGACCTATTTAATGTTAGATCCACTTAGAATAGAGTTTATTTATCTTACTTTGGCGTTATTAGCACCACACTCTAAACCAACTGAGTTAAGCGACCTGCTTTGTGATGTTAGGAAGAAAAAGAAAATAATATATAACCTGTAAATAAAAACATGCCAAGTATAATAGGCGCCTTATTTGAGTTTTCCCACTTTTTTTCTCTACGTAGCGCTCCTTATTATTCGTCACCGGATATTAACAGAATTAGTCTCAGTGTCGCTATTGATTGATTACTTGTACTTTATCGTGGCGATCTTTATATGATAAGAATTGAAGGACGACCTACAGGCAAAACTCCTTAGTATTGGCTTCTGCAGCCGAACGTATCGTAATACCAATGGTATCGTTGTATTTAGGTTTTGTACGTAAGATACACCAAAAATCAAAATTATAGTAACGTATTAGCCACCCGGTCGAGCCAGCTACCCAGTTGAGCCACCCTAAAACACACCAAAATCTACTAACTTTAACCTTTTATAACTCCACCCCTATTAAAGATATTTAAATAAAAATTTAAACATAGCTGCTTATATATAGAAATATTCCATTTATAATGTTTTTAAAAAGTATTCTATATTTAACGTATTTTAAGCGAAGTATCGACATAAGTAAGTTATCGAAACCAATTCCTCACCAAAATCTATAAAATCCACAACGAAATATCTTAACAACGACTAGATAAAAAACTCTGAAATTTTAGTAGATTATAAATATTAATTAGGAAAAGTAATTATTAAATTTTTATAGGACAAAATCTTATAATTATTACGATATTAAGTTTTAGTCTTTAAATATAAATAAAATATTATATCTTAATAACTAGTGGATTTATTAATTTAAAAAATTAATATAGGCTTTAAATTATATATAAAAGCTTAAATATTCTTTAGGAGCTCTTACTGCACCCGGCCTAAAAAGACCAAAACTAACCAAAAGAACCCTGAAAAACACCTAGAGAATCCCCCTAAGATGCATGCATCGCAGGGAAGGTATATGTTAAATGACGGTGGTTTACACTCGCGCGCGTCCACCAGAACCACGCTTAGCAATAGCCCTCTATAACAAGAATGGGCGAATACTACACTATAAAGCGGAAAGACCTTTATTAAGAAGGCATCTAATAAAATATAAAGCCTATTAGACGCGTTTAGTATCCGTAGTTACGGGGGAGTAACTATTAGCTATAATAAACTAATATAGCTAGTAGAATGGCTCCGCTAGTCTAGTAAACCCTAGGCGCCCCTCTAGCAAACCCTTAACTAAATCCTCTAATAGTTAAGTAAAATAAAAAATAAATAAAACCTCTTTTTACCGGTAAACCGTACCTAGGCTACTATAGCTGTATATCTATAGTATAGGGAACCTACCCCCCTAAAGATAATATCCGGGTATATAATTATAATATAACTAAATATAGAAAAAGTAGAGGGGCTTAGGGGATAATTAGAAATAGAAGTCCTTACGGAGATTTATAAAGAGGTTTACGACGCTATTATAGTCCGATACCTTAGGAGTAGAGATATTAGAGTTACCCTAAGGGACTAATAGGTAAAGGAACGAGCNNTTAGGGTAGNGGATAGGCTAGGAGAACGTATTAGTATAAAAGTACTCCGTAAAGATTACCTAGTTAAAGTCCTAGTGGTTCCCCTAAGCCTTAGGGTAGAAAAGGGACGCTAGGCGGATAATATAGTAACTATATATAAGATAGTAAAACAAATGGAACGCCTTATACTAGGACTTAAGATCACCTAAATTTAATAGCTTTAATAGGAAAATGCAAACTAAGTATATAATAAGAATAATAAAAAAATATAAGGGTTGCTAGAAACTCGCTAGGGAAACGCTAGTCAAATATATAGCTTCCTTATTATCAGCATATATATATTAGGAATGCAAAAACTCCTTATTTAAAAAGGTATTATTATAAATGGCCTTATATATAACGTAAGGCTCTATAACTACAGACTCCGCCTAAAATAATACTATCGCTATATATAATAGGGACACACCTAATCTATATACGCAGTATAGGTATACTACGGCTACTATGCAGGCCCCTACAATATAAGATAATACTTAAATTAAGACTAAATAAAATGTGTAAACTGCTACTAAAGCATATATAAGGCATAGGAGAGAGTAAACTATATTAAATATAGGAGACGGAAGGTAAGGGCTTAACAGCTACGGGAATAACTGCATGCTAGGTTATATAAATGGAAATAATAGGCGATAAGCTAGGGGGGCGCGGGTACCTTTCTAGCGTTTCCTACCTTTAATACTAGGGGGCTAGGCCAGCTATCCCAAGCCTTAATAGGCTAGAAGCGACGCCGTGTAATATTACTAGACTATATAGGGATATAAGGATTATAGGGGATATAAGGGAGAGAACGCCCTATAGGAAGACCCTTATAGACAGCTATAGCAAGCTTAAGACTAGGATAATTAAGAATTAGACTTAACGCGGTAAATATAATATTTATAGCCAACTTTTAAAGGGTATATAGCCAACTAGTAAAAATAGGGGAAGAACTAGAGATAATAACAGATTTAGATATAAAAGTGCTAGTAGGAACATAAGATATGGGAATAGAAAGCTCTATATAAAATAAGTAGTAACTAGGGTATAGATATAAGAGATAGAAGCTCTAAATATCCTAAAGAAAGTAAAAATAGAAGAAGTAAGGAATAAAGGAGAGGCAAAGGACCCTTACTAGGGGTCCGCTACCTATCTATTATATAGTATAACTGCGGTAATACAAACTACTGTCTTGTAAGGCCCTTACTAGACAGCCTAGACCTAGAGAAACACTATATCCTTACTATACAAGAGCCGTATTATAATGCCTATATATAATTAATATACTGCCCCTAAGGATTCCAGCTCCTATATAAACCAAAAGTAGCTATATATGTGTGCTTTATAATTAGTAAGGCTATCAGCCTATCCTTATAGTTATAGCAGGCAGTTAACCTAGATATTATAGTTATAATAATCTAAATATATAGGGGACCAGTATAGATTATTAATATATATAACCCTAGGGTTAAAGGGGTCCTATAAATAGAGAATATTATATTAGTAATAAGCTTACTAGAAACCGAAGGTATAGAGTCTATCCTATTAGGAGATATAAACCTCTACCACCCGCAGTAAGGGGGTATTTATATTGCTGCTAAATAATAGGTAGAGTGCCTACTAAGAGCTATAGACACCTAGGGCCTTAAGCTAGCTACCCCCCTAGGAGCAATTATATGGCAATAAGGCACCGCTAGAAGTATAATTAACCTTATATTTATAGACGAAGGCCTATATTAGAGACTTAAAAGGTGTAACCCTAAAGAAGAATAGGTACTCGCTTTAAACCATATCCCCATTTAGATATAGCTAGATCTAGATATTAAGGCGCAACCTAATAGCAAAAGATACGCAATAAGAAAGCTTAAGATAGACAGCTTCTTTAGTATAGTTAAACAACAACTTTAAGACCTAAAGAAATCCACCTGATACCAAACGAGCGAGGCTTATTGGCTACCCCTAAGGAAATTGACTAAAGACTAGAAAGGATTTAGGCAGCAATTAAAAACAGGCTAGAAGAGCACTGCCCGGTCTTAAAACTAGGCCCCTATACACGATACGCATAGTCCGTATAATGCGCGGTTCTTATTACTAGCTAATAACGAGCAAGAAGAAAATATATAAGCAGCCATAATCCTAAAGATAAGAGATAATATAAAGATATAAGAAACCAGCTAAAGAATACCCTAAAAAAAGAAGTAAGGAATAGCTGAAGACGGTTTATAAATAAGCATACTACTAACTTAAGCCTCCCCTATAATAAAGGTCTCTAAAGGATAGCGAAATAGGTAAAGAAAAAGGTAGGACGCCTAGTAGAAAACCCATACCTTCCGCCCCTACGAAGACTAGGTAAATTACTAGCTATAAGTAATAATAATAAGAAGACAAAGATCCTTATAGAAAGATTTTTCCCTTAACTAGCTTTAGTAGACCTTAGTAATATTACGGGTAAAGTACCGGTGACCCGCCTAAGGGTTAACAGCGATATAATAACTAAAGAAATAACCAGAACTATTAGCCGCCTTTTAAATAATATAGTACTAGGACTAGATAGGATTCTAAATAAAGCCCTAAAGACCTGCGGACTACTAATAGCACTTTAGCTTGTAAATATAGCTAAAGTATACTTTATAATAGGCTACTACCTAAGACTTAGAAGAGCTATAACAACGTTTATCCTATATAAAGAAGGTAAAGTAGACTACTTATTTCTAGGGAGCTACCGCCCTATTGCCTTAGAGAATACCCTTAGCAAGATCTTAGAAAGGGTAATAGCGGATTATATAGTAGACACGGCTAAGGAATACGCCCTATTACTATAAAGCTAAATAGGGGTAAGAAAGAACCGCTTAACACTATTAGCACTTACGCTACTCACTGCCACCATTAAATCTGCATAGGTGATGCGAAAGGACTTTATAGTATTAATGCTCAGCCTAGATATTAGTGGCGCCTATAATAATATACCTTACGAGCATCTCTTATATATCCTTAGGGCAAAAGGCTTTCTAGAATAGATTATATAATTTATTTAAGGGTTTATAGGTTAAAAAGAAANATTANTNGTCTTTAGCGGATACTAAAGCCCCCCTATTATAGTTNCAACAGGAATACCATAAGGATTACCCCTCTCGCCTATACTCTTCCTTTTCTTTATAAGTAACCTGCTTAACTCCTTTAAAGAAGGGGCGACCTAGGGGATAGGCTTTATTAATAACATAAACCTAATTATATATAGGCTAACAGCTGCAGAGAATTATAAAACACTAGAGAAAGCTTATAATACCTATATAGAATAGGCAAGATAATATAGAGTCTAATTCTTACTAGAGAAATACCAGCTAATCCATTTTATAAGAAAACGCAACTAATCTATAGATCTCTAGTATATAATTCGCATTTAAGGCTTTAGGGGTTAACTAGTTTAGAGCCTAAGAGTATTAAAAGTATGGGTAGATAGTAAGCTCTAATAGAGCGTA